CAAACGGCGACATGCTTTTCGTTGGCATTCGTGATTTTTCTGTCGATGTGATCGGTTCATTTTGAATTCATTGTAAATGTAAATGGTAAAAGCGATTTTTTGGTTCAAATAAATGTTTGTCAGTAGAAAACAATAATTACAACAAAAATTTTCATGCAAACCAGTTGAAGTCGTATATAAAATTATTTGCATCACATAAATTATGCGCTTGGCTCTCATCTGCTACATTTCCAATGGTTCAAGTGTTTTAGAGAAACCAATTCAAATATTTCGCGGCGAGTGTTGGCTTCGAACGTTCGTTCGTTCGACATGATTTAAAATAAATTATTTTGTTCATTCTAATGTAAAAAAATTCGTTCGGACCGAACATCGAACAAAATTAATGTTAAACGAACGAACAAGCATTCGAAAGTGTTCGACGGCCAACACTAAATGAGGCGAATCGATTTTGACGTTATAAAAAAATGAATCTTCTTTTGAATTGGTGAGTAATCTAATTGGGAACATCACATAATGGAACGAATCTGTTTTCGCTTGATTTTCTTAATGTTTCACTGCTCCGAGAAGACAATCATTTCAAATGCAGTTTCATTGAGTTCTATATAAATTTACCATTTAAAAGCAAACAAATGCTGAGATGAATTGCAAATAAGGTTTTTCATTCAATTTTCGAAATAAATAAAATAAGTCAGCTTTTGGTCACCAAAACAAGCCATTTAGTTTAGTATTTTTGAGTAGCTATTTGTATAAGTTCGAAGAATTTTTCGTGAAAAAAAATCCAAATTAGTATTTCACATTGAAAAGAAGGAAATAACGAATTTAATTGCAATTGAATCGATGTTGGATGCCATTCATGTATGAAGAATTTTCCACTTTTCAAGAATTCGAAAGAATTGAACTGCTTCAAAAATCATTGCACCAATGTTTCGAAAGCAAACAGTGGCAACACTGTTCGGAGTTCAATTTCCAATATGCTTCGTTCACCGCCTTTCTCTTTGATGGGCCAAATCATTCACTCATTTCAATATGGCGCGGATTTCTCGCTTGTCGTCGTGCTTGCCCAATTTGCCATGGTGATCACATTGCTGATGTGTTTGTGTGGTGCACAAAGACACGCAAACTCATACGCTTCATTTGTCGCGGCCCAGAATGATTTCGCCACCAAAGCTTGTGTCACACATACACACATCACGCCTTGTCTCGCTTTGCATCGTTCGTCGTTCCTCGCGAATTCAGAACGTGACTTATGAAGTTAAGGAGCAATTCGAACGAAACAAATACACGCATACTCAAGCGATTCGTGCTGTTCATGAGAAGAGCAAATCTTATTTCGCGTCATTCGCAATTTATCTTTCAGAGGAATCGGTTCGTTTTGTATCAGCTCGATTTTTGTCCATATTTTTTCCGCTGCCATTTTTATTTTCCTGTATCGAACAGTCGATAAATTCAACATCATTCAAATAAAACAATAATTTCTAAGCGAATTTGGTGAAATATTTCGTAGATTCTTTTTCAAATACATAATTTTTTTGTGAAAAAGCACAATGAGGCTGGTTTCAAATAATTTTACGTGAAAATTATATTGTAAGCCCTATTTCAATAGCATAAAAAATGACACAGAAATAAATTCATTCAAAATCTGTTTAGAAGCGAAGAAAAATCATAGAAAATAAATGAGAATCAAAAATAAATTTTTAAGCGAAAAAACCGTGCCGACGGAAAATTCCATATAAAAACGTGTTGTCTACAGAAAACCGCGTGTTCGCACGCCATATTTGAAGTCACTTCCGGCGGCATTTTTTTTGGTTTCGAGGAATGAAATCCGATCCCTGTGAGAACGTCGCACACAATGCCGTCGCAAAAAAATGTCTAGTGTTTTTTTTCGCTTGCACTTATTCGAAGCATAAAACTTCTTCTTACTAAATCCAAATTTTTAATTTGAATTAAATTTCATTTTCAATAAATAAATTTCGCTAATCAAGGTAAGGTAATTATTATGAATATGTTGAAAACTTGTGATGGAAATAATGGCAGTCTTGTCATTGAGTCGAGTGTTCTTTTTGCTAAGTTTTTTGTTCAGACTTTTTTTCTGAAATAATTCAGCCAAACTCACAAGAAACATCGATCGATTGTGAGTTTTTTTGCATAAAAATGTCATTTTGAAATAAACAGATAGTTTAACAATCGTCAATTTTCGAGACAGATTTGCATTTTACGGCGTATTTCATTGAAAAAATACTGTGTTTCATTCATTTCATTTTTCGTTCAAAAATCCAATCCACAATTTGAATCAATAGACCTTTTTGAACAAGCCTAGTGAAATTTCGAAATCATTTTGCTTCCATGCATTTTTCGTCATTTAGGTGATCGATCCCATTGAACAATTTGCAAAATCGTAGTTTTTGAAATGAATCAAACGGTTTTGATAAAAAATAAATTATTTCTCAGTCCACCAAAGCTCAACTGTTTATTGATTGAAAATGCTATTGAAATGATTGAAAAAAATGTCGATTGAAGTTCTTGAAGAAAGTGAACTACACCAGAATAATTTCATAAAAATAACCAATATTTTATGAGTTTGCATTTCTGTTGCTGGAAAATTTCATGGTAAATTCTTGATGACAGTAATTTGAAATTTTTTTTTTATTGTGATTCGGGAGTTTGAGTCCATTATCATATGAATTAGCTAAAGAAGACAGACTGTGAGGCAGCGAGCATTCGACGAAAGATCATTGTGCATTTCAAATGCATATTGTTCGACGCGATCGGTGCTTATATGCGAATTAAAAATACATTTGAATTCACACAAATTTAAACATCGATATTCAATCAATGTCTCCTTTTTTCCCAAAAATTCAAATCTATTTCTGTTGAATGAAAGTACGTTTGCTGCATTAAATGACATTTATAAAAGATGAACTCATTCAGTCTTTACTCCAATTACCTGCGCTTTTGGTTTGTGTAGAAAAACTTTTCATCAAAAAGCTTGAATCAAATGTTGAGAAAGTGTTCGAACAGTTCGGGATGCTGAGGCTTAATTCGAGATGAAACGAAGTCCACCATAATCAAATGCTCTTCGGAAGGTATAAGTAAATGAAATGGTTTGAAGAAACAAAGGATTTGGTCTAATCGATGATTTGTTTTGTACAATCGATTTAGTACAATCAATTCAAGTGTGTGACTTTGAACTGCAAACATTAGACTTCGATTCGCCCCGTTTACAATTCGACTTGATCTCGGAGAAGGTTTCAGACAGCGACAATGAGCTGCAATCACAAAATGAGACTGAGAAAAAGCAACGAAAATATGGTAAACTTATGCTTTATAAAAGGTCTTGATCAATACTTTAACCAGACCCAACAAAACTCAGTCTCAAACAGAACAAATGCCCAATGGAATCGTTATTGGCCGTTCTACGAATGAAAATAGTCGCTCGTTTGATCCGATCCGAACAAATGAATTTGTTGTTTTTTTCTTGTATAGAATGGAAGTTCTTCTTGAATGTAATGAAAGTTCATTTTTGACTAGATCCTTTACTGAAAACCATTTGACGTTGAATCGGAAACCGAAGCGACTGTGTCTTTTTTGGTGCGATGGAAATCTCATTGCGAGTTGGCTTTGGTTTACATGAGTTCTGAACATGTTTGAAACATTATTCTCAATATTTCAAATCAAATGTTCACAAGCAAAAGTAATGGTATTATGGGATATGGACTGTTGTTGATCATTTTTCTACATCAAATATATTGACTTTTTGGGAGGAAGCGAGATATTCTCATTATTTGCATTGGTTGGAATGAACGAAAATTTAATTGAAAGTATGTGTATGGACTCTTCTCCAAAGAAAACATTCAATTTTTATGCAATGCAGAATAATTTCATTGAATGGAATGAATAAAGTGGAAAATAAATATTCTAAAAACATTAGTTATTTCATTGCATAGTCAAAGGATTAATACCAGTTTTTGCTTTCAATCAATAAACATTGAGTAAACAACGCAGTAGCGGAATGAAGAGATGATCAATAATTATATAATTATAATTAAAGCGCCCAGATTTCTTTTGTTCAAGGCCTAACTTTTGGTCGGAAAGGGATCAAAAGGACGGGCAGAATTCTTTTCAAATCTAGGCAAAAGCTGGCCAAAATTTTAAATGTGTGGAGGGTTTTCGACTTAAAAAACTACAGTTTTGTTATAATTTGTTCAGTGAATCTTCAATGGTTAAATTAACCATAATAAAACAAAAAATCAAGTGAGATCAAAAGTTCAATGTGCTTCTTCTTTACGTTTAAATTAAAAATGTTAAATGACAATACAAAAATGAATTCAATTTGTTCGACATTTGTTTATGATTTCAACTTATCAATAGATTGTTGCACAATGATCCGCCAAAATAAAATGAGTCTCAAATCAAATCATACATATTAGTTCGATGCGAAATTGACGAAAGCACCGAGATAGTCTCGATCATTAAACGTCAAACCAACAACGCCACACATTTTGACGGCAACGCATTGGAACTGCATTGATAAGTGTATTTAATACAGTGTCGAACATTGTCGTGTTAGAAAACATAAACAAGACCGTAGATCGTCGCTTCTCTCCGCTCTGCGTTCTTGAAGCTTGTAAATTTAAGGGATTTGATTAATTTGATGTTTCTAATCAAATTATTATCGTAAGCACTACATGGAATGGTGTTTTAATCGTAGCATAATTGAGGCTGTGAGAATGAAAATGGCAATACAGGAATAAACATTCTGAAACGAAACATAAAACAGCAAACACGCAAAAGTGAATCATGAATGTTTGAGCAGCAGCAGTGAACCATGAGTATCGGTACGTGTACGTAAATTCATGATTTGCTTCAACACAGCGCTCATTCAAGATTCACTTTTGAGAATTTTCTTTCTTGGCGGCAGTTCAGTAAATATTTTTGTTACGTTGCGCATATGTATGTTTTCGTTTCATGAATCAGTTTTAAAAAAATGTTATTCATTTCCAAACTCACCGTAGTTTTAATTCAATCCAGACAAAATATATTATTTCAAATCATAGACCTTGATTTGCGTTAAACAAGAGTATGTATTTTGTTAGTTTAGAATACCAATAAACAGGAGTATGTTTTTCTGACTTTGGTTGTTAGAAAAGGCGAGTATGTTTGTCCAAATTGGTGAACTAATCATTTGTACATTTGGCGGCGCCCGATACTTCAATTGAACGAATTGGTTTTTGAAAAAATAGAGTATGCTTGCATAAATGGTTAAAAATATTAAGTTCTCTGGACGAAGAATAACAGGGGTGCATTAGGGTGTTTTTCATAACCTGAAAAAGAAAAATGGTAGATTTTAAATTAAAGAGGAAAAAATTCTGTATCAATTAGTGGTGTTCACACAACGGAGCAATCGATATTCACACCTCCCGAAGCAAAAAGACTGCTTTTCCATTCGAATGTCTAAATAACTCTCGCTCCGAAGCGTTGAACAAATTCTACTTACCGTGATATGATGCATTGAACAAGTCATATCCAAAGAATGCGGCGACATTGTCAAACCGGAAAATGAACACGACTCATTCTGATCATCAAATAACGTCTATAAAACCACTCATGTACTGCGGTAAATAAAGTTAGACACCTTATAAACCTTAAAATAGCCCACTAAGTGCAAGGCTTGAGAACTCTAATAAACTATTAGAAAATATTTGTTAAAAAAAACTTTAATGCTAAACGCTGGATTTTGAATTATGGATTAAGTGGAACGCCGTCGTCATCTGGTCGTTGCAGCAGTGCTGGATGTATCGGAATGTCAAGCAGCGTGCAAAGACCTAAGTAAATAGAAAACAAGCACACAAATAACAATTAATTTAAGCGAAAACCAAATCGAATCCAATTTTCAAATGAAATATTAATAGATAATGAACCTTTGTACATGATCAGTTTGGCTGCTGATATGTCCCGATGCCAAAGTGATTTGAGCAACTTGCGTGATTGTGCCGCGTCTTCTGTTCCAGCGTTTTCAGCAGCATTTGGTTGCCAGGTTTTGAAGAAGCGTTGCTTCTTTGACACCAAACGTCCTGAATTTCGTTGGGTTAGAATGGCTGCAATAGCATCACCTTGATCGCGCATTCCCTCCCATGTACGCATGATTTTCCGTTGCATTTGTAACACTCGTTTGATGATAGCTGTCTTGAAATGTACCAGCTTACCGGCGATGAGATCAATTGCACGACGCCATTCAATGTGTTTGTCCAAACGTAAGCGTGCATAGTTTTTCTGACTGTATGCCGCGATACCATCTTGGGACATTCGCAGGCGATGTTCGATGTAATGGCGCCAAGAGATGTTCCGTGGCGATGGTGTCTGGCCAATCTCTGCGGCGATACGTTTGAGGTCTGCTTGTTCGTCATACGTGAAGACTCGTGTCATTCGTTCGGCTTTAATGTTGCGCGCATCTTGCTTCGATTTCTGGTGGTATTGTTTGAACGAAATCTTCTCGTTGGTCTGTAAATAAAATGCAACAAAAGTGAATTAATACTTCTTCTTCTTCTTCTTCTTCTTCTTCCTTTTTTCGTTTTGTAAATACTTACCTCTTCGCCGGTCTGTAGATCGAGGCGGACCGACGCAATAAAGGTTCGCATGCCTGACTCAATTTCCAATGCATACGCGAATTCGTTTGCGAAATATTTTCGTTTGGTTTCGACCTCTTCTTCATCAGTAACAGTTTTGCTCTGTTTCAGCAATTTGAATAACACCGACGCTGACACACCATCTGATATAATCGAATCGCCGAATTCCTTTTTATTCTTGACCAGCTTGATAATTTCGTCCATGTTGAAAAACAAACGCTCTCCTTGACGCTTCTCTCTCCTTGAATTCAGTCTGTGAGATCCAGCGCTGTTGGTATTCGCCGTTTCGTAAGACACGAGTGCCTTTTGTTCGCGGCATTGCCTTAATGCCACATAAAATGTTGTACAATGCATCCGTATCAATTTTCACGTGTCGGCGCTGGAATGTGCACTTCGAAATGACTGTGAAGGTGGTGATTTCAGGCGGCTCTGGAAATTCTGGCTGATGCACATAGAGCGGATATTTTCGGAACAGATTCCAAGTTTGGCGTAGATTGGCAAACGCGAGGTGAAAGTTATGAATTTCGCGCTGTATATTAATGAACATGCGCAATGCTTGGAACCAATTGAGTTCAACGAATTCTCTGATGTTGAATGGGTGTGGATCATCTGGTCTGTGAGGTGCTCCAATCCAATACAGCTCCGCCAACAGTATTTCCAATTTCCGTATGGCATTTGCATTGCCACGCGTTGAATCTCTCCGGTTCTATGTGTAGTTGATGGCATTTTTGATGTCGTCACCATCGAATAATTCGTCCAACTCGAGATCTCCACACAGACACATGTGGTTCAATTCGTAGCAACGCATTTTGAAGAACTTTCTCAAACGCTGTTCGCAATGCGTTTTGAGGTTGTTCTTGACGTTTGTGGCATATTGCTCGTACAGGTATTTTAATGTATTGCCGAAAAATCTGTTCGTTGGACATGGATACCATTCGCCGAGAATGTTGACAACCATTTGCCGGAAACCTGGGACCATAAATATTCGATCATTGGTGTAATTTTGCCGGAGCACACCTTGGAAGCACATTTTGATAATTTCATCACCATTGCTGTTGAAAAAGTGGTTGTTGAAATCATCGACCGCCGTATTAACCTAACAAGAACAATGTTTTTTTTTGTTCAATTTGAATGAATCGAATCGGTTCAAGATGGTC